CCGTTAACCATAGCGAAACGATAACCGTTCGAACCGGTGAAACGATAATCATTTAGACCGGTGAGACGGTGAAGTGATAACCGTTCGGGCCGCTTAAACGATAACTGCTTGGACCGGTGAAGCGGTGACGATTAATCGGTTTAACGGTGAAAGCCGGCAAACGCCTTAAAACCTACGGTGAAGATCGATACTTTGGCACCATTACTTACCGTTTTTCTAAAGGAGTATGAATTAGTTAATATACGGGTATTCGCCGTAGGTTTTAAACCGTTTACCAGCTTTCACCGTTAGACCGATTAATCGGCACCGTTTCATCGGTTCAAGCGGTTATCGTTTCACCGGTCTAAACGGTTATCGCTTCACTGGTCTAAAGGGTTATCGTTCCACCGTCACACCGGTCTACAGGATTACCGTTTCGCCGTTTCATTGTTTCGAACGGTTATCGTTTCACCGGCCTAAACGGTTACCGTTCCACCGTATCACCGGTTTGCCGGTATAGCGATTAATGATGGTCACCGTTGCATCCCTATTTAATAACATTAAATTCTTCGGCGATGTGAGCTGATAGACATATGATTATTTCACCCTCAATGTAGTCATTTAACTTTATAGTGGTGGCGGTTCCAAGGGTAGGCTGGGGTGGGCTCAGCCCACCCTGAAATTTTTTCAGATCCTAAAAAGACCAATGATAGTCTATGTGAGTATATCCAACTGGAAATTGACTAGGCCTGAGCCCACCCTGTTTTGAAATTTATTAGGTCTGAACTCATTCTAGTCAAGAATCCTGGCGCCGCCGCTACCCTATAGTGGAAAAAGAAGAAGTTTTGAAATTACCGTGAGAAAGAGAAGTAAATCTAACAGGAAAATGATGAAATTCAAATATTCAAATTATCTCTTTAACTGATGACAACTAACAACCAGTGTATACGTCTTACGTGCAATCATAAACTTCTATCTATGATTTAGAGTTTTCTAGTTAAGATTCGATTTTTGAAAGATATACAATTGCACGGAGAAATGCTCTCGATCGTATTATGACTACACCGCACTATTATAAAATGTAACACATGTATAAATTTTATTTTTAGTATCGACATAAGAAAAATAAATACAGGATACTTGAAAATATCATTGGTCTCAACACAACAGTCACACATCACGGTATACAATAAAAGTAATTGACTGCTACATTGTTAATCTAAGTCCAAACATATATTTTAACAATTGCCGCCTTTAAGACTGCTTGAAATTGATTTCTACCAAATCTTCAAAACTAAACAAACGGCAAATTTGGCAAATGTTCGATCTATAAGCAAATCTTCATATTTTTGCAATAATCGACTTTGTATTTGGAAACATAAGTAAAAATTCAAATAGTATTAGGTTCGTACTGAGAATTTTAGAATATTACAAGATCGTGACTAGCATATACTATGAGAAACATTCTAATATGCTTACTACTAACAGACGGTGATGTGATATCCGAGATATGGATAACCTGGGA